TCGCATGAAAGAGCAGCAGCTACCACACAAGTATTGCCAAAGATGCTTAAAAAGCGTACCATATTTCCTCATACTTTCTTATATTTACAGTACAATGCGCCAAAACGATCTTTTTTCCTATTAATATACTGTACTATACGTGTCTAACAGGCATCACGATTACAACGCATATATAGCGTTTCACGACCCTACGCGAGAGTGCCGAGGAGAATATAGCAACCAATTTAGTGACACACACAGGTATCGGCTCTAATAAACTTCGTGTCCTGAAATTTTGCATAATTTGAGCGCTATTATTCCAAACTCTAGATTATATATCCTGTCCTAGACTATAATCGCTCGCAAGCGTTAAGCTCTCTAAATATTATAGCACAAGACTTCACCGTGCCGGCGTTATGAACTCTACCTGTTTCTAACAGCGGCGTAGTAACTTCCCTACCGTTGCCTGCACAAGCGTCATAAATAATCCACCGAAACAATAACGATCTCACCTTGTCCCTAACGTGCGTGCTCCATTATGTAGTTGTATACTCCATACGTTGAGAGCTTGTACACATCATTTCACGGTTAATGATTAATATTAATGATTGATTTTCCTAACCCTAACCCTAACCTAAATGAACATATAAATAACCACAAACTAATAGATAATGACCCATTACCAATAATATATATATATATATACTATACGTATATATATAATATTATGACCATTTAATGAAACATTAAAGTGGCAAACACCTTCCTAATGGCAGTAGTAATGACGTAGATCATTGAATTATTTAACCTTAGTATAACCAGCGACACGCGTGTCGGCTTTAATCTTAAAAAAAGCGCCCGCGCGAAAGCCCGGGCATCACATCATATGCTTTATTTTAGTCGCACAAATATCAAGTCAATAAACAACCAGTGAAAGCTTGCACACGAATATGGCCCAATCCGGCTGACGACTTGCTACAAGTCTTATGCACCGTTCTAGCTCTTAAGCTCGCGACCCCGTGCGCGTGGGTCACGTACGACCCGTGGACCGCGCGGACACAACAAAGAAAAACATAGAAAATATCAGCCGCACGACAGATGAAAAAGTAATCAAACCATACAGCCAAGGCGCGACACTATTACATTTAGTACCTCACACCTTTGATGCTCGCTCATGCCGACTGAGATTAAAAGAAACACACAACGAACGCCAGCCGACAAATGTGTACTATGTGAAACTATTACGAAACATCGAATCGAAGCTTCCGCGATTCCAAGACTTACTAGAAGCTCCAGCTAGCCCCTTCTCTCACGTAGAGACAGAAGCTCTCACCTTTCACTTGCTCCATAAAATTCTGCGCAAAGACTCAGATTAGCACATCCGCAACGCAACACACGCCCGTTGCACGCCGCAGTGCCGTGCTTCGTATAGGCCCCATTCCCCCAGTTGTATAAATACCACAGTTTCGATCAGCGAAGCAGACACAGTCCACTGTAGCTGTACAGCACCTGCCTGGGAATCACTATTCGCCTACCGTCACCTTAGGACATCACTGCCACTGGACCTAGTCTGACTGCCTGCCCGACCTACATGTCTCACGCTCGGTTAGATATGCACTGCCATGTGTATAAAACAGCTACTTCCCGCACTTGTCTGTATGTGCCTGTGTGTATAGATATTGCATATGTGTCATGCGTGTGTGCGTTCGTGCCTGCGTGCGTTGGTGAGCGCAGGTGTGCGGGGGGAGGTACCAGGTGTGCAGGCGTTGGTGAGCGCAGGTGTGTGGGGGGAGCAGGTGTGCAGGTGTTGGTGAGCGCAGGTGTGTGTGTGGTGGGGGGGGGAGCAGGTGTAGGGGGGAAGCATTTTATTATTTCTATTTACTATTATTTATTTTCATATTTATTAGATTATATTATAAGATTTTTTTTAACTAATAACACTAGCAGCGTGTAAATAAATCAAACATAAACGTTCTTGAAATGTTCGTTAAAATTCGGTTTCCAATTGTATTTTATTTGAGTCACACACACGCGGCACGATTGACAACAGAGACTCAGGACCCACTAAACCGTCAGCCAAAGATCCAGCGTGCTAATCACAATGAAACGCTATCTGAACGACAACACAACGCTGTGATATGAAATAATATGACATGACGTAATAAAATGATATAAAAGGGATCGCTTCGCCAGAAACTTGTAGCTTTGAAGCTCTGCCTGTGGTGAGCAACACGTTAGACAGGTAGAGAGAGAAAGAGTTACCAGCAAAGCCGGTCATACCTGTGGTTGTGAGTCAGCGCGCGCTAGGGAGAGGGGGATGGGTAGAGGGAGGAGGGGGAGGGAGAGGTGAAGGCGGAGGAGGGGGAGGAGAAGAGGGGGTAGAGAGAGTTACCAGCAAACCTTGCCTGTCTTACCTGTGTTTGTTAGTCAGCGCGTGCTAAGGACTAGGGAGAGGTGGAGGAGGGGAAGGGGGAGAAAGAGGGGGAGTGGGGGGAGGAAGGGACATAATGATTGCGCTCGGCCGCGGCTTGAAATTAGAGTAATTAACGGACAAGTCGGTGTGCAAACATAATTGCCGCATTATTTTTGCTCCTCCTTCCATTAAGCACGCGCCGCGATTTCGCTGTGATCTTTTGCGGCGCGCACGCACACACACACACACACACACACACACAGAATCGCAATTATAGCGATCAGAGCTTAAACCATCACGCGAGATCCGGGCTAGCGTTAGTTCGGGTTAAAAACAGCGAAAATAAGGGGGTTGGCAGACTCACGCTCTCTCTCTCTCTCTCTCTCTCTCTCTCTCTCTTTCTCTCTATCTCTCTCTCTCTCTCTGCTCTCTCTCTCTTTACATCGCCACTTCTCGTGACTGCTAACTCTCTAACAAACGCAAGCAAGCTTTCCACATACACCCAAGTGACGTCAGTCGCTGCTAATCTAAAAAGCCCACACCTCAGCGCGCCAGTAAGAGAATCGCGTTTAGTGACGTTTAACGCCTCAAAAAGTCTCGTAAAAGATTTACATAGCAAGCCTAATTGCATTTAATGCCTAACAATATCTAATAAAAATTTAATATAGAAAGCGTCTCTCGTCCGCTGCGCCCTCTAGCGGAATAATGAAAATGAGATATGCGCACCACTTGCCCTCTTATATTACGTATAACAAGTATCGTGTACTGAGTGTCCATATACACAGATACGTTCATCTGCCCCACAGTCACTTGGAACTATTTAATGATAAAATAAAACACGAAATGTATTTACTACCAAAGTCTTAATGTTTCTCTACTCTCTTTCGCCTATTATTGTCGATAATTTATTGTAAATGCCGTTCAAATGCTCCTCTGCAACACACAAGTATACCGCACGCACGCCGATGTGCACAAACAACAAGTATAAAGAGTTACAAGTGCATGTGATATGCCCGCACACAGGTAGAGTCTACGGCGGGCTCCATAGCTATCAGCATACGCCGTAATGACAGTGGAAGCTTTTTAGCTGCTGCTGCGCGCGCTATTTCTCGCCCTCGCTAACACGCGGTTGTCAGCGGGAGCGACTATAAGGGCAATCACACGCGGACCGACACGACGTACGTGTGGGCAGAATAATACGGGCACGTGTGGGCACGCCGTCGCTGCTGTGCGGACGGTTGTTGATTGCCCCTCCCGTCGTTATTGATCTAAACTGCCGCTAGGGAGCAACTAGCTGTAGTAATAGTAGTAGTAGTAGTAGTAGTAGTAGTAGTAGTATGTATACGTGTGGGGTGTTACTCTATTATCATTATTTTCTTCTTTACATTCTATTTCTCCATTCCCACATATATTCCTCCAACGTCTCTTTATTTCATTCTTTATTCTCCTCTTCTTTACTCGTCTTCCTGGGTACAGCAGTAAGTTGACGCAATTCTACAAAAATGTAAACCGTTTGCATGATTTATTTTCTTGATAAATATATAAAATAGTCATGAAATCAGTAATATTAGATTGATGCATGTCTGCTACAAAAAATTTAAGCACACGCAAAAAAAGATCCGGTATTAAGCGTAATATGTGCACATTTTGTTTCCACACAGACGTATCATTTATTTGCAGGGATGCCTGTTAGTCATGGTATTGTCAGGGCCAAATGCAGGATAGTTCGATCGCTGGAGGACGCAGACACCATACAGGTATTTAGATGAGGAAGTTGGAATGGATGATGGAAATGACTGTACTTTATTCACGCATAATCACACTGATGATCCTATATCAAATAGGGACCACACCGGGAGCACTTACCGAATTTGAATGAGTTTGTCTGTTACGCTATACTGTGTCCACCCACAAGACAAAAGCAGCAAGCATGCTCCCAATATTTAATTCTTAGCCATTATATGTGGGCACGCGCCGGGGCGGGCGTTTCTCGCCGCTTGGATCGGGGCGTGCTGTTGGCTAGACAATTTTGCGCAATATATATTCAAAATACGTATTTAAATTGCAATCCGGGATGGTCAGACCCTAAGATTTACTGTCCGCTTGTTTTATAGCAAGGAGAGATATTAATAGTGCCGTACACGGACATCGGATGGTCACCTTACTTCCCTCTCGTGTCCGGTCTGTGCACAGAGATGGGAGGCCTTGGATCACACGGTAAACCTCAATGTCCAACTGTATATAAATAAATCGTTTTCATGCTACCCAGAATTTATGGTACAGTATCATTTTATTATTTATTTAAGTGTGGTCGTGCTCTACGCAGTGAACACATTGTGCGTAAGGATTGCTTTTCAGACATGCCGAGAAAGCTTTACTTTTTTTAGAAGATGTTCCCTACTATCTGAGGCACGATAAAGCGGGGACTACTATAATATATATATATATACCTTAGTGCTGCGAGAAAACTACTAGATTTTGTATATTAGCGTAAATGTATGCATTATTTCTCTGCCAGGAGCTGTGGTAGCAAGAGAATACGGACTGCCATGCATTGTGTCAGCGAAGAAAGCGACGTATGTCTTCAAAACAGGTATGTATTATTCTGCGTGTTTAATTAAATATAATAAATCTATGAAGCAATTGTGAAAAATTGAATGAAATTAATGAGATTGAGTTAATGTTCAGATACATGTTTAAATTGCCTAAAAACAGGCATCTAAAATGTGCAATCATTACTACAAATTTAGTGCATTTATTAACGTGTACTTCTTTTATTTAAAAAAAAATTATCGTGACGGCGCATGCAGTGTTAACTCTGTGTGGTTGCGTTATTAGCCTCGTTCACACGAGACCTCGTATTTATGAAATACGGTATTTGCGAAATACCGAATCTGAGACAAATACGCGGCCGAGCGTTCACACGCTGATTTTGCTGCATCACTATCAAATCGTCTGTGTTTACTACATTCGATATAGTCTGTCGCAATTCACTCCCACTGCACTATAGAGCAAAAATGTATTCACACCTCGGTTTCAAAACAAAGTTTCATACTATTCGTTTAACACTCAAAGAGCAATATCTAGACTTTTTATCACCATTGCCGGACATCTTTACTAGCATAGTAAGTCATCGGGTAAAATGTGAACAATTGCGCTCTTAAAACCATTAATACGCTTTCATTGGGCAATTAACGTGGGAATAAATGAAAGCTGTAATTAAGCGAAGACGGAACGTTCTTTTAGCAAAAAATTAACTGCCATATTTGCCCGAATTAAAGTTCATAAAACGGGCGATCAACGATTAAAGCGTAATTTTACATTCCATAGACCATTAAAACAGGTAACTGCATAAAATCCTTAAACATAATACACTCGCTTATACATTCCTGCATTCATACACGCTCTCCCCCATACATACACGAGCACGTACGCACGCGCGCTCGTAAACATTTTCATGCATTTATCTTATTTCCTATGCATTCTCCTATGCATTCTCCTATGCATTATTTCCTATGCATTCTCCTATTATCTTGCGTCACATATGTTCCTTATTGCCTTAATTTTGCTTTTTTATTTAAAAAAATTTGCGGAATGTAATGTTTCCTTTTCAAATGCCATATACTCCATTCATCCACCCCGCTTACGCTATCCACCGCAAAACGAAATCTTATATCCTCCAAAAATAGACCTACTGCGATTTTTATTTAGTAATAAACCAGTTTTAGACAACAACCGAGCTTGACAACAAGAGGCAATGCGTAACAAAATGAAATTCATAAAATCCCACATCTTGAGGACATCACGCGTATTTGAATATGCCACTTCTCCATCCTCTGTCATTAGTAGATAAATAATTGAATAATACATTTAATAAATGCGATAAATGAATGTGAATAACATTAATTAAAATAACAATGATGAATTGATAATAAGATGTTGAGAAAAATATTAAGAGAAAAAATTGTTGAGAAAAAAATGAAGCGGTTAGGCGCTCGTACATAACACCAACAAATAACGATAACGACAACAAAATGGCGCATAATAGGATTATACTTTTCTATTTAATATGGTAATCACATGCGCCTAATCATGTGCCACACGTTCGCACAATTTCTAGAAGTCACCTTTAAGCCACACGGCTCGTAAATAATGAGTTTCTGACGCGCATTTATTTTGTACAGCTATTTTTTTACGGCTACGCGTCAACTCATAGAGAAGCAGATGCAAAATCGCAGCAATAATTAAGAGAGTTGTTAGCCACTAACAGATTCGCACACAAGGTTTACATGCATGATTTTATTCCGAACGTCCTCATACTATGCAGCAGCGTCTAATATTTAATAAAATATTCAGAATTTGTGTATTATCAGCTCGTTATTCTAAAATCTAATATGAACTGACATTGTACGTATGTGTTTGCGTCTGATATGGCTCTAGGATTTGCACAGAATGGTCCAAGTTGTTCTGCGATATCATTATATATTTTTAAACATTCAATTATCATGCCAACCAAACAGGGTGCACGTCGCTTTACCGTTATTTGCGGGGGCGCTTGACACAGTAATTTCAGCAGTACGTTCTTTTGCAATTTCCTTCTCTCATTTCGTCTTGTCGAAAATCGGTGGGTAAAGTTGAGTCAGTCAGCAGTCGAATCGCTGTGCTGCACTAAACTGACAGATTATAGGTGAACTAAACTTGGATTGCGACATTTTCTAACCCGAATTGAGACAGGACGTCACGCCAATTGCTTTGCTGAGGCATCACGGTGTAAAAACGCGTGGAATGCAGCATGGCATATAGCCAGGTTGACTGAGTGTACGCTTACATCGTGTCCACAGTACGTAGTGTGTCAACAGCTTAAGCAGCAAGTAACCACAAAAAACCTATAACATGCTAAAGTTACATCGGAAAATTACTTATGCGGAAAAACATTTTTTTATTGATGCATATAGTTGAAAAATAACACAGCTACACATTACAATGTTTAACAGGCGTATTTTTTTGGCCTTCGCATAGGATTTAATGCATGCAGTTCTTAAAATGTTTATTGTTGTTGATTTCACCATGCTTGTTGCGCGCAGAATTTATGTGGAACTCTTATATATACTTCCCGTTACATAGGATTAGATTCAGTGAGCTCGCCATCGGGAGAAACCTGCTGGTGATTGCTTGAGTGCAAATGCGCATCGATCGAATCACCGAACTCACGGAATAAACGCTACCTGCGGTTATTCAACGACAATACCTGTGACATGATTGGAATCGATCGAAATGAACTCAGAAATAAACTCATGTGAACGCAGAAATTAATTGCTTCGGTAGACTCGAATAAACCGAATGTAAATACGGTTATTTCCGATGATGGTATTCGCTCGCTATTTTCTCCTATTCGCGCATGAGTCTACTGGCGTCACAGACGCACTGTAGTGTTTCCTACGTTTCCAATGTCTCCTTCAATATCTCTCATAATGGCCCACCGTACAGCATTTACTGTATGGGGTCTGACGTCATATGACGCTATGCTCACCACAGAGATCACGTGACTATCAGCTCAAGATTAGATTGCGCCGCCACAACAAACAAGAGAGCAATTTTCATATCTGTGATGAGATTGCATATTACTATCACGTCACGTATATATGCCACGTTAGTATTACGTCACGTATATATATCGCGTCGCTATTACGTCACGTATATATACCACGTCACTATTACGTCACGTATATATACCACGTCACTATTACGTCACGTATATATGCCACGTTACTATTACGTCACGTCAGTGTGCCACCTCACTATTACGTCACGTATATATACCAACTCACTATTACGTCACAATGCTTCTCATTTCTACGTCAGTTTGCGGCGGTGGCCCGTATATTGACAATCGGGAAAAAACGCACGCAAGGTACGCTACCCTGCGAACGTTGTCAGGTAAAAAAATTGCTCATAACCCCAGAGTCAATTAAAGCGGCAAAGATGTACGTGTGTACGTTAATTTACTAATGTGCCCGCGTGCGTCTAAGCCACGATGCGATTGATCAGACGTATAAGTTGTTATAACATCATAAGTATAAATCCTTTATCACATATATATAATCATCACATATCACATATCATCGTTCATAAACTTCATCATTCATTGTGACAAATGAAGCGTCGTTCGTTTGCATCGAATACCGTAGACTTGTTGATAGATCGAAGTAGTTGTTAATAGATGAACATGATAAATTTTGTAACGATTACTATAGGATTTTTCGCCGGAAAGTGAATGGGAAATATAGAAGGGCGCCTGCAGAGTTTACATGTTAAGTTATATGTTTATAGAGTAACTTAGCTTCAACGATGGACAGACGTGCAGAACTGTCACGTCACTATCCGCCTTTACACCTAATACTGCTGTAAAAAATGACGTCATTAGAGTAGTCGCGACTTATAAACGTTGACTGGAATAAATTGTACGCCATATTTGTATTAGCAAAACGCAGTGGAATCGCGCATGCGCGTGTGTCGAAGACCCGAGCTCAAGACCCGTATATATAAAGATCTGCTGAGTTCTCTTATAGCTAGCGAGAGGTTATTGTCGAAATTGCAACATTAAATAGGGATCATATATCCAACGTACATAATCGTGTTACACATACATACACATACACATACACATACACATACACATACACATACACATACACATACACATACACATACACATACACATACACATACACATACACATGCGTGCGTGCGTGCGTGCGTGTGTGACAATGTGTCGTACCATGTGCTTAAAAAGCATTTTACTACGGTTAACCGTTCCGGACTGAAAAATTCGTGGGCAGTGAAGTCATGCAGTGACTGTCTGTCTCAACGGCCTCTGATCTGTATTCACTATATGTTTCCGGCTATAAAATACTTTTTACCGCAACATTTTACCCCTAGCTTTGTTTTCTCATTAATTTACTTGGTAATACAAGTTGGCTACTTTAGTGTACGTATATATGTTTTGCTTTACATTAAAACATATAAAGTCAATTGAACTTTTCACCTATATACCAGGTTGTTTTGTCGTGGCGATTCCCGCTGCATATCCACTCAATCGTGATATCCTTAATTACTCGCTATATACGTATTCATTAGACCTCGATTTCTGACCTTGATATGTCAACAGGACACAGGAGAAGTCCTCTCCATGTGTCGTGATCATGTAGTATATATATAATATTATCTAAGCAAACTAGTTGTACAAGCAAACTAAGACAATCAACAAATGCATCAGAAACGGAAAATTTCTTCCTTGAAAATATGTCCTTCAAGTAACCACAAAATCCAGCAGTGCACGACGATGACAAATTCATAAAAACACAACGAATAATTACTAAACAATAAAGCTGTCGCCCAGTGTAAACGCGAGTGTGTCAGCTTATATTTAATTAGTTTTAACGTACATTACATAGGAAATTATACCGGAACAGCTAGTCAGCAAGAGATCACTGATTATACGAACACCCTTAATCCAAGCGCAACAAACAAAGTAGATAAATGAACTCGTGATTAGCACAAGAAATATCAATTGTCTACTGAAAGTTATTAACGTCAAGTTTATATCCT